AAGACTAAACCAGATGATCTTTTGCTGTGTGTTTTGACTGCATTGCTAAAGATAAATCCCATAACTTTACCCCAAATGTTAAATTCTTCCACTAGGCTCTGTCTGCTATGATTAATTATAGTCGCTAACCAGGGGGAGTCTTGTTAAATAACATTTTTTTAAGCTGTTACTATGGAGATTCCAATTAAGCACTTCTTGGGTGGGTCCAGATATCTGCTCTTAAGAAGTTATCCTATTTCATATTTCAGAGACAAGATACATGAGCTTTTGGGAACCATGGGTTACTGGGACAGATGTGGTTTGGTTGTTGTGCCAAGTTGGAAATAGTTGTCAATGCTTTGCACCAAATACTCAATGCTAGGGTACAAGGGAGCACAGACAGAAGAGAAGTGTCAAGGGATGAAGAGCAAACCTGCAATATCCATTGTTCACTTTCAAGGCTGGGGGTTAAGCAGGATAGTCGAGGAGGTTCTGCTCTCCACTAAGAGGTGTAAGATTGCCCTGTGTCCACAGTGAGCAGTGTTTCACATAACGGCCAGGTGGCAGAGTGCAGCCTGCCTGATTCCATAGCTTGTGCTTTCACCTCTGTTTCTAGCCAAGAAAACAGCAAGCCTATTTCAGGAACTGTGCCTCACCTGCTAGCTTGCAGGACTTGCTGTGGCCTGGCAGCGATCTGGGTCTTTATCAGCTCACTCTCAGAATAGCATAGCAAGGAAGTGTGTTATCTTTTCCGAAGGAAAGCACAGTGAGGTAGAAGTTTGACAACAAGGGTATGGTGTGTGTGTGTGTGTGTGTGTGTGTGTGTGTGTGTGTGTCCTAGGGATTGAAACTAGGGCCTAACACATGCTAGTAAAGTCCCTACTGCTGACCTAGCTCTCTCAGCCATTGAAAAGTTCTGATTAACCTTCTACAGGATCTCTGCCTTGCTGAGTGGAAGATGCATCCTTTACATTTATACACAAGTTTACCTATCTCTTTCCTTGAATATAATGTCAAGAGACTATTGATTTATTATGCCTCTATAATCCCTTTCAGATTACCTCCCGCTGTGAAAGAGCAGTTGGTCTCTTTAGTGCATTTAGTGCAAAGCCACAATACGCTTTAAGACACTCTTCTGAGAATTAGTACTGATTATAGATAGCTTAAAGAAGATGTTGATTAGAGATTCTTGACAGAATGAAGTGATTTTGTTAGAACCTGCCGTGTGTTCCGTAGGATCACCCATGTTACTTCCCCGTATTGTAAGCATTGTGGAAGCCAGTGAAGGTGTGGAATAGAGGGCTGCCAGGCAGGCAGGACCTGCCCTGCCTGAGATAGTTGCTGCCTCCAAGGGCAGCTTTCCTGATCTGGCCTCTGTTCCTTGGCTTCTCTTGGACACTAGCCTGGACCTGGCCAAGGGCCCGAGGACACAATATGAGCAGTCTTGTGACCAAATGCTCTGGGACTGGATCTATTGTGAAGCGTATTTGGACCATGAATTATTATTGTAGCAATTCAAAGCACAGTTTTTATTCACAACTGGGTATTGTAGCCTGTTTCTTTTTGTACCCAGTAATGGAAACATAGCAGTGCAGTTCCTTGTCCAAAGATGGTGTTTCACCTTTCCCCCCCTCTTTTTTTTTTTCAGCATCTCACACTGCAGTCCAGGCTTCCTTGAAACTCATTGTGTGGCCAAGGTTGGCCTCAAACTCATGGCAATCCTCCTGCCTCAGCCTTCTAAGTGCTAGGTACTGGTGTGAACTACCACACCAGACCTTCAATATGCCTTTTAATCTTGGTAGCTTGCAATAGCCATTGTGGTCTGTCTTGTTGGTATGGGTAGGCTGACTTGAATTTGCCTCTTATTTTGTACATTAAATATACCCAAAAGTTAGAATTTCAATTTTTACAGCAACTCCCTGAGAGCTACCATGCTCATCTTATATTGAAAAGCATCCTATGCAAAAAAATTACTCATATTCCTGGTTCTCTCTTATCATGGTCTATATTTTCTTTTTTCCCATAGAATATAACTTATTGTACTATTCTATAATTACTTATTTCATATCTTTAGAATTTCTATCTGTCTTCTCTTCTATCCCTTTAGATTATAAATTCACCAGTACAGGAATCCTTGTTATGCTCATTAAAAACTATTAAATACCCAGTAAACATTTAGGGAGTGACAGATAAACAGTGAAAAAAATGTTTTTTGACTAAAATAAAACTTTAGGTCAGATTGGAAAGGAATCCATGTGGCAGGTTTTGGAGCTTACTTTAAAGAGTCTTACTTTAAAGGCTTAGCCTTCCCTCAAACATTGGAACAAGTGCCTGGCCTATAGAAACTGCTCATGCCTTACCTCAAAAACTGTTTCTAAAATCATCTCTCTTCAGTAAGGCCCTTGATGGGACTCAGTGTAGCCACCCATGTAAAAGTGACTGGAAACATTGAGACCAATTAGTCTTCCTGGGAAGATGACAAACGTATTCTCATGGTCATCTACCTTTAAAGAGAAAAAAAAACAAAAACAAAACCAAAAAGTTCTTTTCAAAACCTCTTTAAGAGGCTGTTCTGGGGGGCAGCTGACTCCCTAGTCTAGTGGTTCTCAACTTTCCTAATGCTGCAAGCCTTTAATACAGTTCCTCACATTATAGTGACCCATCAACCAGCATATAATTTCCATTGCTACTTCATAACCATAACTTTACTACTGTCAAGACTCATAAAGTAAATATGTGATATGCAGATGGTCTTAGGTGAACCCTGTTAAAGGGTCATTTGACCCCCAAAGGGGTCGCTACCCACAGGTTGAGAACCACTGCCCTAGGGTGAGTTGCTCTTTTGTTATTTCCCATTAACTTGACTGGAAAATATTATGAGGAGCAGAAGTTTAAAGACATGGTAATGACACTATAGCCTTCTCTGCTTCTTTGCTGGTGCCTGAGTACACAGATACATTAACATCACACTCACAGTTTCACATTTGCATGCAAATAACAGCTCTTCAAGGATCAGGAGGTAGCACCATGCGGAAACCATTCCATGCAGCCTTGATCACCCCCCCATTCACTCCTGATCCATCTAAGAAGTCATTTTTCCCAAACCAGAAATCAACTATGGAACCAACCTGAAGCATCTCCCCACAGCTTCAGATAGAAACCCAAATTTTATTTTTCTTTCTCTTAATTTTTTATATAAATTAGAAACAAGATTATTTGACATGTCAATCCCAGTTCCCTCTGCCTCCCCCTCTCCCCTGCCCCCTACAACCAGCACCCTACCTATTCCATACCCCTTCTGCTCCCCAGGGAGGATGAGGCCTTCCATAGGGGGTCTTGAGAGTCTGTCATATCCTTTGGGATAGGGCCTAGGCACTCCCCCTTGTGTCTAGGCTCAAGGAGTATCCCTCTATGTGGAATGGGCTCCCAAAGTCCATTCCTATGCTAGGGATAAGTACTGATCTACTACAAATGGCCCCATAGATTTCTGAGGTCTCCCCACTGACACCCATGTTCATGGGGTCTGGATCAGTCCCATGCTGGTTTCCCAGCTATCAGTCTGGGAACCAAGAGTTCGCCCTTGTTCAGGTCAGCTGAGAAACCCACATTTTTTAGCACAAGACTCAAGTGCTTTGGTATTGCAGACCTTGCTCAACTCTGACCTTAACTCTTGCTCAATTCCCTACCTGAAAACACACACATATTTTTTATGTGTATGTATGTGTGTGTATGCTTTTCATATTCAGGGGCCTGGGGAGGTCACAAGAAGGCATCACATCTCCTGGAGCTGGAGTGGTAGATTTTTGTTGGCAACTGAACTTTGGGTTCATGGGAAGGGAGCAACAAGGGAAGGGAGCAACAAATGTACTCCCATCTCAGCTGAGCCATCTCTCTGGTCCTGATTTGCAGTTCTGCAGCCTGCAAGAATTACTGCTACTATTCTTCCTCATGTCTATTCATGTATTTAAGGTTATGCTCTCTTCCGGCTTGCATTTCCTGGACCTTCTCTTCCTTGTCCACATTAGCAGTTCTTCTCATTTGTTGGCATACCACTTAGCAGTGATGGTCTCTCTGCTCCTCTCTTTGGTGCACTACATTGTTAAGGATCGTGGCCTTTAAACTTTAGCATAGATTCAGTGGTGGACTCATACTCCCTGAACTTTCAGGAGCTGAGGAAGCCTGCAGTAAATGTGTAAGGAGTGGGTGAAGTCCTGGGTATGTATCATTGATGAGGACCACTCTCTGAGACCTATGGGAATTTACAAAGCCTTTCTCCAGGTGAGGTTCAGAGTCATGGCAAAGACTTCCTCTTGTCTGAGTAGGAGAGTAAGGACAATTGATCAGAGTGTGAAAATTTGTAACTGCAGTTTTCTCCCTATGACTGCAACCTGAGCTACTCCTACTACCTCCTCAGACCAGCTAACCCCTCCTTCTCATGCTGTACATAGTAAATGTGCTGAGGTTTTTGGGGTGTCGCATAGATGATACTGCTCCATCAAAGTGAGCATGGCCCACCTGGTAACTGCTTTTCTGTACACGTGGCTGTGTGTCTGTCCTTTCTTCATGTTTTTATCACTCCAGTCACACTTATAGGGCAAAGCCATGTGGGGCACTGTGCAGGGTGGATGAAGGTATGGCTCTTTCAGCCATCATATTTGGAAGAACCTCCCTAGATAGACACATGGATTTTTAGGCTTAGGTTGAGAACTTGTTCCTGATCCTTACTTTGCCAGATTTCAGGTTATAACTGTAAACTATATCACTGTTAAGCAGGCCCACCACTAGGAAGTCATCACCATTCAGCCATCGTCTGGAATGAGACTCTGAGGGGAGCACACACTAAGAGGAAATCCAGGAGTCCAGCTGGCTCTGTTTTCCTGTCTGGTTCTGAGTCATAGACCAGCATGAAAATTTATAACACAGCTTCTCATCATCACTCATGTATTTACGTAATTGGCTATACCCCAGAAACTGTTAGAGCATTAATGGCTTGTTTCTTTGAAGCCAGGAGGATTCTAGTTAAGCCAGGAAGTGATCAATACTTAAGGACTTGATTAAGATTAAAAAATCTCTTTTTGACTGTTGAATTCAGCGTTCACTTTACAAGAAGAAAAATTTATCATGGTGTAGAACTCTGGTAGAAATGGAGGTTGCATAGCTTTGGCTTTGAAGTTGCCTCGAGAATCAGAAAGACAATTCACTCCTGTTTTCTCAGAGTATGTTTGTGGGGGTCCTCTTTCCCTCTCAGCCCATTGGCCACTAGGTTGAGAGTGGAAAGAGGCAGAAGGGCTTTTGGTTTCTAGACTTCATACAGTGATAGATGGAAAAAACAGAAAGCTTTGTACCAGGGTCCATGAGCACAAATGAAGACAGTCCTTCAGCAGACAGAGTTTGGTGAACCAACTCAATTTTATTCCAGAATACGAGGAATATATAGGATTGGGGAGTCAGAGGACAAGCCCTAATTTACATTAAGAGGCACACTCCTATCACAAGGGTTAGTATGTGGCAGTTGGATGCTATTGCAGAGCTCCTAGTTCAAGTCTTCTTAACAGGGATCTGTGCCAAGAATCAAGCTAAAGATGAATCAGGCATCTGGTTTTAGAGTCAGGCTCTGGTTTAGGGACAGCTTTCAGATAAGGTCAGTCCTCCAGGCTCAGGGAAATTCCCCAGATAAGGCTAGGTAAAGAGCAGGAAGCTTTTCTAGGGAGGGAGGGAGCTCCATGTGGCTGAGCTTATTGAGATAAGCTACTAGGCCATGGAAAGCCTGAAACCTCTGACCAGCTGGCAATGTCTTCCAATACATGTTACCAAGATTCTGTTTGAGACACTCTTGGCCATACCCCAGGAATAATTAAAGGTGAGTTCTTTCTGAATCCCGCTCCCCTTCTCCTCCATTGTTCAGAGCTGCCTATGTGGGACAGTGAGTTGAGGACTCAGTGTCCCCAGCAGCAGCTTGTGTGTACCTGGGGGAAGATGCAATGAGAAGAGAACCAGCTCTACTAGACTGGGGATCAGAAAGTTCTGGGCAGAGCAGCCAATGTTGGGTAACAGGGACTACAGAATTACATATGTGCCCTGTTTCTAGAAGAAGTATTTATGGGTAGAATAAAAGAGGACATCGTGAGGGAAGCCTTTTTTTGTAAAAGGGACTACAGAATTACATATGTGCCCTGTTTCTAGAAGAAGTATTTATGGGTAGAATAAAAGAGGACATCGTGAGGGAAGCCTCCAGGCAGGAAACTGGCAAGAACTTGAGCTTAGAGGAAAATGATCAGGATTCCATAGAAGGAAGGTGTTTTTACACACATGGGAAAAGCAGAAGTGAATCCTTAGATAGGAGCAAAATTTATGTATAATCACAGCTTCTCTCTTCTACATCTGTGAGGTCTAGGCCTTGTCTATTGACTTGAATTCTGTTGTTACTCTTGTAAGGGCAAGGGAGAGACATATCTGTAGGGATGAGGCTTGTAGACAGAGTAGTGGGTGGACTTCCTAAGGCACTGGAAAATGGAAGACAAAAATGTTTTAAAGATACTAATTTTTACTTCTCTGATTTTCCAAAAGGATTGCTATGTCCCTGAGCTGGACATTTCTACAAGTTCTCTAGTTAAGTCTAATATATACCCACTATTGAGAACATCTGTATTGTGTTGTTGAGATGGCTTAGCAGTTAAGAATGCTTGATGTTCTTGCAGAGAATCCAAGTGGTTTCCAGAACTCATGTCCAACAGTTCCCAACTACCTGTAATTCCAGCTCAGGTGTCTCATGCCAGCAGGGTAAGACAGAATATGGGTACTTAAAGAATTGGGGAGGCTGGAATTTATTGTCTGTGGTGGGAAAGAAATCTTCAAAGGCAGACAGGATTTGATTTAAAGGCATAATATGTGACCATAAATGATTTAAATATTTTGCTTAACACTCTGGGGAAGCATGAATGGTTTCTGAATGAGAGAAAGATATAAGATCTGGACTTTAGAAGGATCTCACAACAATGCTTGGATGAGGCCTGTAGAATTATCAGGCAGCTGGGCAGACTACCTGGCAAATGGGAGCATCCTGTGTAGACACCAGGGCCCATCAAATTCTTTCCTCTCCTCTGTCACTCCTTCTACTCTGGACTTTCCCACAATACCAACTCTGCTGATGAATGAAGGGTTTGTGCTTGGGCAATGAGAAGTATTTTAAACCTTGGGACAGCTCTAGGATCGCACCTCCCAAGTCTGGAAGTTCATCTCAGTCACCCAGGGACTGTGTAAAAACTACAGCATCTGCCTCATAGTGTCTAGAGAAGAACTTTGAAGCTATGTGAGATCTTAGAAATATTGTTGTAGCAGGCTTCCCATCTCTCTTAGTGGTGTGTGTGTGTGTGTGTGTGTGTGTGTGTGTGTGTGTGTGTGTGTGTGTGTGCTAAGTATTGAATCCAGAGTTTTGTGTACAATAGGTAAGTGCTCTACCACAGAACTAAAACCCCAGCCCATGCTGCTTTTCTGTTGGTTTTACTTTTATTATTATTGATTGAAATATAATTATATCATTTTCCTTACTTTTCCCTCTTCCAAATCCTTCAATGTCCCCAAATCTATGGCTTCTTTTTCTTTAAGTATTATTGTTTTACACACACACACACACACACACACACACACACACACACACCCACACACTCACACACACACACACACCCTAGTATGTTTAGTGTTACTTGTATGTATATAATTTCAGGACTGACTACTTGGAATTGGATAACCAATTAGGGGGCTCATCCCTGGGGAAGGTTATTTCTGCTCTCATCATTCCTTAATTGCCTGTAGTTCTTTGTCTTGATGTAGGGCCTCATGAGATTTCTCTCTTCAATGTTAACATGTCTACTGGTGTTGTACTTGTTCAGGTCTTGTTTAGGCAGCCACATTGTTGAGGCATCATGGGTGAAGTGTCATTGTCATTTCTAAGAAACAGGATCTCACAGCAGATTGTATTCCGGTTCTTCAATTTTTCTGCACCCCTCTTCCAAGATGTGCCCTGAGCCTTAGGTGTAAGAGTTGTGTAGGAGATGTATCATTTAGGGCTGGGAAGTCCATGATCAATTGTTCCCTGCATTTTGAGTGGTTGTGGTATTCTGTAACGGTCTACATAAATTGCAAAGAAATGCTCCTTTTGTTAAGGTAAAAGCTATATTTATCTGTAGATATGGGATTGGATATTTAGAACCCTGTTAGGAATTATGATGGTTTAGTAAAGTAGATAGCAGGTTCTCCTCTAAGACCCATGACCTCATTAGCTCCTCGTGGTAGATGGCTGCATTTCCAGTAGCAGGCATGATTTCCCTCTTGTTTAGTGGGTTTTAAGTCCAATTATACAGCCATTGGTTACTGGCAACATGAGTGTAACTATTGTTTTTTAAGGCATATCTTGCTATGCTGGTCATTGGTGTGGCTCACAGGCATCAAAGCAAGGTGGAACTATTTGTTACTCCTGCCCCTTGGCAGTTTTTATAACTCCTTCCTGTACTATTAAAGCTACTTCTCAGAGAACAGGCTTTCAGGTCAGATCCAGCTTGGATCCTCTGAGTCTTGTGTCTTTAGCATTCAGGACTTAACTTCAATGTCTTGGAGGCAACCAAGGGCAACAGCAATAGCTGATAATGTTTTGGGAGTCTCTTGGATTCCCCTGACAAGCAACTTAAAAGGGAGTTTCTCATGCCTAGTACTGTAGATTTGTTATGGTTCTTTTGTGAGGCATTGTTGGTCCAAGTATGATACCGTCATTTAAACTATAAATGTATATATGTACATTTACACTTACATGTATTATATGTAATTTTAGATAAATAAAATAATATGATTCCTTATGGCCTTTTCATATACCCATATGAAGAGTTTTCTCTTATCCTTCCTTCTCTTACTGAATTGCTTTCCTTCCTCCAATTAAAGCGCCCCCATTCTCCCTACTTCATCATATAACTTGTATCCTGGTAGCCCCTCTCTAACTATCTTCCCCTGACCATAGTACATTTTTTACTTTTCTGTGGTTACTCCATGTGTATACTCATATCTGAGGACTTGGAGCTAGGAACCTCACATAAGAAAGATTATGAAACATTTGTCTTTCTTGATCTGGGTTTGCTCACTCATTATACTTTCTAGTTCCATTCACATACCAGAAAATTTCATTTTCTTTACAGGTGATTTAAATTCCATTTTGTATATGTAATATACTTTCATTATTCATTCATTTGTTGGAAGACATTTATGTTGTTTCTGTTACTTATCTTTTGTAAATAGAATGGCCGAACAGCTGAACATTGATGAGCAAGTGTCTTTGGGGTAGAATGTTAAATCCTTTGGGCATAGGCCCAGGAGTGGTATAGCTGGTGTGGTAGTTTGAATGTAATTGGCCCCCATAAGCTCATAAGGAGTGGAGCTATTAGAAGGTGTGGCATTGTTGATGTAGGTATGGCCTTGTTGAAGGAAGTGTGTCACTCTGGGGGTAGGCTTTGAGGTCTCCTTTGCTCAAGCTTCACTTGGTGTGACACTCAGATCACTTCCTGTTGCATGCAGGATCAAGGTGTTGCTACTTCTCCAGCACCATGTCTGCTCCTTGTTGCACCCTGATGATAATGAACTAAACCTCTGAAAATATAAGCCCCCTCCCCCATTTAATGTTTTTCCCTAATAAGAATCGCCATGGTCATGGTGTCTCTTCACAGCAATAGATACCCTAACTGAGACAGCTGGGTCCTATGATAGATTTTAGCTACTTGAAAATTCTCTACCCTCATTTCCAGAGTGACTCTACCAATTTGCTTCTCCAATGACGAGTGAGGAGTTCTCTTTCCAATGTCCTTTCCAGAATTTGTTATCACTTTTTTTGTTGGTCTTAGCCATTCTGATTGGATAAGATGAGGTCTCAAGTTGTTTCATTTATGTTTCCCTAATTTCTGAGGGTGATGAACAATTTTTGAGGTATTTTGTATCGACTTTTTCTTCTTCTGAGAACTCTTCGGATTCACTGCCTATGTTTTTGAATGAATTGTTTGGTTTTCAATTCTTTTTTTCAAATCCTTTATATAGTCTGGATATTAAATCTTCTGTCAGATATATTGTTGGCAAAGATCCTCTGCTACACTGTGGGTTCATCTTTACATAATTTATTGTTTGCTTAGCTGGTGGAAGGCTTTAGTTTTGTCTATCTTGCCACTTCACTAAAACTGTTCATCATTTCTCCAAGTTTCATGGTGGAATTTTTGGGATCTCTTATGTATAGTATCATATAATTCCCAAATATCCCTATTTAGTTTGATTTCTTTCTCTATTTCTATCCCTTTAATTCTTTTCTCTTGTCTTAGACCTCCTGCACTACATTAAAAGAGTAGGGATACTGTATAACCCTTTTTGCTTTTTATTTCAATGGGGTTGCTTCATATTTTCCTCTACTTATAGTGGTGCTGGCTGCTGGTTAATAAAGGTGAATGTAACCTTTATTAAGTTGAGTTATGTTCTCTTCAGTCCTACTTTCTTTAAGACTTTCATCATGAAGGCATGCTGGATTCTTTTTTTCCGACTTTTTCTGCAGCTATTGAGATGATCATGTGACTTCTGTCTTTAAATCCTTTTATGTGATTTACTACATTTCTTGACTTATATATGTTAAAACATCCATCTATATCTGAGATAAAACCAACTTGTCATGGTAGATAATCTTTTTGATATATTTATGTATTGTATTTGCAAGTCTTTTACTGAGGATTTTTATATCTATGTTCATAAGGAATGTTGGCCTATAGTTTTCTTTTTTTATTTTTTGATGTTGTTGTGTTTTTTCCTGGTTTTGGTATTAGAGTAATACTGACTTTGTAGAAGGAGTTTGGGAGTACTCCTTCTATTTCTATATATTTGAATAATTTAAGAAAGATTTGTTGTAGATATATTTTGAAATTTGTACAGAAATCAACTGTATATTCATCTTGGCTTGAACATTTTTTTAGGCTGAAGGCTTTTTATTATGGTTTTTATTTTATTAAGGTTTTAATCTTGTCTTAGTTGGAGTTTTATTGCTGTGAGGAGACACCATGACCATGGCAACTCTTATAAAGGAAAACATTTAACTGGGGCTGGCTTACAGTTCTGAGGTTTAGTCCATTATTACAATGGTGGGAAGCATGGCAGCACGCAGGCAGACATGGTGCTAGAGAAAGAGCTGAGAGTTCTGCATCTGGATCCATAGGTATCAGGAAGAGACTGAGACACACTAGGCCTGTCTTGAGTTTCTAAGACCTCAAAGCCCTCAGTGACACATTTCTTCCAGCAAAGCCACACTTACTTCAACAAAGCCACATTTCCTAATAGTGCCACTCCCTATGGGGGCCATTTCTTTCAAACTTCCACAGTTGGTTTTCTGGATATGAATTATTTTAGCTTGATTGAATCATGAAAAGTTTTTCTTCCTCCTTTCTCCTTGGCAGATAGATTTGTTGAGTAAATAGTCTAGGTCAGCAGTCATGGTCTTTTAGAATTTAGAGTGCCCCACTCTAGGCTCTTTTGGTTTTCTCAGTTTTCCTTTGTATTTGACTTGTCTATTTTCTCTTTCAGCTTTCAATACTTTTTATTTGTTTTGTGGACTCAGTGTTTTAATATAGTATAATGTGGGGAGGGGACTTCTTTTCTGGCCTTGTCTACTTGATTTTCTTATTGGGTGTGTCTTTCCTTAGGTTGAAGATCTGGTCTGTGCCATTGACTTAGAATTCTTATTCCTCATCCATGACTATAATTTGAAGATTTTGTCTTTCATTTGATCATTGTCTCACAGTTCCTGCATGCTCCTTTCCTGTGCTTTTAGCTTTCTTTTCATATTCTTTGCTTGTATGGTCTAATTCTTCTACTTTATCTTTGAGACTTGATAATTAACCTGTTTGATTCATTCACCTTGTAAGGTTTTCCCCTGAGTTTTCTAGTGGGGTTACTGGGATTTTCAATTAATCCTTTTTCAGCTTGGGTCTTCTTCAGTATTTCTATCTCTTTGTTTAATTCAATTTTCAAATCTAGATTGTTATCATCTCTATTAACTTTATGCTTGTGTTTTCTTGGGAATAACTCAGGTGTTTATTCTCTTTAAGTTAATTGAACTGTTTTTGTATCTTTAAACTCCATCAATACTTGGATATATTTTATGATTATTCTTTTAAATTCTGTGTCCTAGGGTTCACATCAACACAGGGGCTGGACTGGCATGCAGGGTGTGCAATCATTTCAAGCCTGGGATTGGGTGTGGTATGTTCAGGGATGACTAGACTAGGCTGGGGCCCTGGGTGTGGGATCTAGGATCTGGGGATTGGGGGGTTTGAAGAATCATAATATAAGTACTGCCATTCGAACAGCTTCTAATGCCTTAAGTAATTTCATTCTCAATCAATTGTTCTACCTATTAGAACATTATCTTATGGGCAACTTTGGGAGAATTCATGACAGTTTCTGTCTTTATGTTTGCCAGTTCACAAAGCAAGAAGAGATATTCCACATCTTTATTGTTTTATAGAGATGTCTAGAGGTTTGCATGACAAGAGCTTTTTCATGAAAGGCTTGGAACTAAGCTCATTTGGGATGCAGAACACAAATTCACAGTGAATCTTAATGAAACCAGGCTTACAGAGATTTTCAGGCAAGGCAAGGATGCTTGTTAGACATTACTTGAGAGTTAGAGCTAAGAAAGAAGAATTTAGAGGGATTATGTTGTGCAAGTGGCAGAAGGGGAAGAGGAAACAACAGGGGGTAGTGACTCTATGGGAACAGTGATAAGGGTAACAAGATCTAGGTGGTGACTAATTCCATTTAGAAGGAGCAGGAAAAGCATTTGGTCTGTGGCTGGGAAGAAAAATCATAACTCAGTTTCACAGATTTTGTTAATAGAGAGTTTCCATGTGTGTGTTCTGTGGTGGACCATGCTCAGTTAGTGTTAATACAATGATTCATAAAGCCCATGGCTGAATAAGTTGAGATATGTTTTTTCTAGTACCACAGTGGGCAGAGAGCTGATTTATGAGTGAAACAAAGTCTTTATCTAGGCTAAGAAGTAGGAGGATCACTTAAAAAATGGAATCATGATAAGGGATGCTCCAGGCATGTGCAAATAGAGATGAGTAAAGAGACTGAGAGGTGTTACCAGAACTTTTGAAGCTGTTTCTGATGTGTCTTAGAAGTGTATGACAGAAGAGAGGGAGTGGTGATGATGGTGAGAGATTACAAAGAATTTATTTTCCACCACTGGCAAATCACTGTAAATATCTCAAGGATTCTTTGTAGGATTTTTCATTTGGTTTTGGAAGGGATAGTGTTTATTTCTAAGATAGGAGTGTCATAATTCAGGCTGGCTTGGAATTTGCTATGTAGCTCAGGTTGGCCTTAAAGTCACAATCCCTTTCTCCCAGACTCCTTCGCCTGGTATCACTGGCATGGGTTGCAGGCCAAGCTTGTGGCTTGGTTTTAAACATTTATGTTTTATGTTTTAGATCAGTGGCAGTTCAAGCTGGCGGATCTTGGTAGCCCTGCTCTTCATTTAACTGGCAGTGGAGAAAAGCACAGCAAACATGGAAGACAGGGAAGGCAGCAGAGCAATGGTGCAGGTCGGTTGGTCTGAAGAAAAGTGAAAACAGCATGTGCTACAGCCTTCCCTGCCTTATGGTAATTTAATGGGATCCTGTGGGATTTGGGGAATATGCAAAAGAAGCAATGGTGTTTAGAAATGGTCTGATAAGGTGGTGACTCAAATACATTTAATCCCAATACTTGGGAGGCCCATGCCTTTAATCCTAACACTTGGGAGACCGAGGCAGGTGTATTTCTGTGAGTTCAAGGTCAGCCTGGTCTACAAAGTGAGTTCTAGGTCAGGGCTACACAAAGAAACCCTGTCTCAGAAAACAAACACAAATAGATAAAAAAAAAATGATCTGATAAGTTTTGCTCGATAGAAGGCCTGAGAAGAGGAGTTTGTGGTGGGAGCCATGGGTTCAGAAGTGAATGAATAACAATAAGACCAATGTATGAAGGAGTAACATGAGCCTCTGCATGGGAGAGTTCCTGAACACACTGTCGCTTGACTTCTCCCACTGATCTGGGTCTGTTGTTTATGGCAAATCATAGCACCATGTATATATGGCTGTTCTCCAGAAATCACAGTTACTGCTCTACAGAAGGGCAAAAATTGGACTCTTCTGTGCCCGCCCCCCAAAGGATCACAATAGTTGAGAAGGCTCTTCCTTGGATGGTTCTGAGGAGGCATACCAGGACTATGAATACTTATGTAGCGAGTGCCATGGAGTCCAGGTATATTTCAGCTCTCTCCAGCTCATCTAAAGGTCAATGCTGTGACTTTTAAACTCACAGAAAAACCATTTTCATTCAGCTAATTAGCAATCTTTTGATTACAACAAAATTTCTGAAGTATTTAATGTTGAAGGAAAGCAGAACTGAGTGTGCTTGTGTATGTAATGCCAAGTCTTGGGAGGTGGAGGCAGCAGGATCATGGGTTGAAGGACATTCTTGGCTACATATTGAGCTTGAAGCTAACCTGAGTTACATAAGACCATATTTCAAAACAAAACAGCAAAGCAACCAAAAATAAAAAACAAGCAAACAAGCAATTATCTAGCTATATCCAACATGTGGGAGTATGAGGCAGAAAGATTTCTGTTGGTGTGAGGCCAAGTTCAGGCTATATTGTAAGTTCCAGGTTAGCCTGGGTTGAGAGTGAGATGCCATCTCAAAAACAAAATCCCAAACCAACCAACCAAACACAACAAATTAGAGAAAGAATGAATATGACGTGTTACATCCTCAAAGTGGGATCAAACATTTTCATGTATGGGATAAAATTTATTATCCCTCCAAATAGATGCTATAGTTAGTAGAAATCCCAGGTAGCACAAGGAGGGTGGATGTGATTTCTATTTCTTTGCTAATTTGATTTCTAGCTTATCACTTCTTTTTATTTCCCTATTTAAAAAAATGGCAATGACAACAACTTATTATCAGAGATGATAACCTAAAGAGTTTTAAAAAGACATTGCCAAGTTGACCTAGGCTTTGTGACCAATGTTCCTCCCTCACTTCCTCCTTTCCTGCTATGGTTGAAGACAGGAGGATCTACACATGCGCCTGTGTGGTGAAGGGCTCTCCATTACTGAGGGGCCTTCACATTTGAGGGCTTGTTTATTCCTAGCCTGCAGACCCTTTGTGACCATATTTGATACAGAACTAATAACTTGTAAAGGTTTTCTGTTCCTGAAAGAACACAACTACATTTTCATCAATTTCCCCCTGGTTTTTCGTTGCAAAGACACAGAACAGAGACACTAAGATGACTGAAGCAAGTGTTAACTGTTCCTCTGGCTGTGAGAGGGCAGGCTCAGATGCTAGGGAGAAAGTTGAAGGAGCTCTAAGTGAAGAGTGCTAAGTGTGAATTTTAGAAAAATGGTGGAAGAAGTTTGTGGAACTGGAATGAAAACAAAGGTGATCAGGTTGGTAAACAAGATCCCGACGCATGGTGGGCCTACTTATCTCCTGAAGGATGGAGGTCTTCCATATCAGAACAATATGAATTCAGCAGTGTAGGATTACAGACATGTCAACTGCTTTTATTGCATAGTTAGTGTTTGTATGTTACATGATGCTGAACTCAAATTAGGATGCCTGAAGATTTGAGACTAACTCTTACAGGGCAAGTCTTTGTTTATCTTAAGGTTTGTGTAGATTCTGATATATTGGCTAACTTTAAACTTCCTGTGGTGATGTCACCAATGAGTTATGAACAGTCCAAGGTTTCGAAAGCATGGGAGCTGTGCTCAGCCTTGACTAGGCTGTTCCTCCATTTGTCTGTGCATGTAAGGGATACCGCAGAATGGAGCCAAATTATTAAAATGTATGTAATGCAACTGGCTGCTGCTATGGTGAAACCAAGATGGTGACCTGATTTACAGCTGTCCTAAAGAATCAAAGGTGTGGCAAGATTGACAGTGTCAGCAAATGCAACTCAGCTGAACTCAGAGTCCTGAGAAGGTGGCCCGAAATTTTACAACTCTTGAGCAATAGGCAAATTGGAATCTTTTTTTTTTTTTTTTTGGCTGTAGGAGAGGAGGCCATGAAAGTAAAGGTTGAAAGCTCCTATTTGTGGATGCATGTGAATTTCCACAGTATGGAACCACTTGTGTCTACTGGAAGTGTGGACCTGCAGAATTTGTACTTGGCCTCTCCTATTAGCCTCAAGTCAGTCCCCTGTGAGACTTCAGCACCAAGACATGTTTTCCCAAGCATTTCTCAAGTAGATATGAAAAATGGGCAGGACTATCGCAAGGATACATATGCACACACATACATATGCTGTGTGTATGTATATTGTACACATATATAAACACATACGTATGTATTTGTCATTTATAACTCTGAGCACTGGTCAAATGCGACAGTTTTTATGTTTATCATTTGGTAAGGTGAATTAGTTTAACTTCTTCTAAAAACTGATATAACTTTGATAACATATTCCAGGTTCTTTAATTCCATGAAAACCAAGCTTTAATAACTTGAGATTGCCAGGCGTTGGTGGTGCACGCCTTTAATCCCAGCACTCGGTAGGCAGAGGCAGGTGGATCTCTGTGAATTCGAGGCCAGTGTGGTCTCCAGAGTGAGTGCCAGGATAGGCTCCAAAGCTACACAGAGAAACCCTGTCTCGAAAAACAAAAACAAAAACAAAAACAAAAAACAAAAAAACCAAAAAAAAAAAACCCCACAAACAAACAAACAAACAAAAACTTGAGATTGTGAGATGGAAATTCCTCATGATTTCCAGACATCCTGCTATGATTACACACTAAAATAATGAAAATTTATCTCTGGCAAAAATTGAATATGGCCATGCGTTGCCTGTTATGTTTATAAAGTGCCTCATATTGAGGAGTTGAGAGAGGCACTGCATTGAGGCCATCGCTACCATCGGTCTGCTCATCCATCAGGAACCACCTTCCTTCCCACTTTGTACCAGAGGTCTTCGAATGACAGGCTTGGCCAATTGCTTTTTGTGGTACCCCCCATGTCATTTTTCTTTCTCTTTATTATTATTTTTTGCACTGTCAATGACATCTATTTCATTTTTTCCCCCATGGAAAAACACCAAGCTGTATTTATATGCTCTCATTTCTGTTACAGTTAATAACTGGAGGCTTGTGGCAAACAAGAACTTATTCAGCTGAAATATGTGACAACCTTTCATAATTACTGTAGCATAGGACATCTGCATGCTGGCGACTGATGGAAAGCTACATGCATAAACCATTTATATTCATAGATCAACTTTCCAGGAAGTTGTGTATTTTTTTTTCTGAAAAACTCTGCCACTGTATTGAATTTTAAAAAGAAGGTGAGATTTTAACTTCCTTCCCAAGGAGGTAAACAGGGATAGCTGCCTCCCTTCCCCCCAACTTCACTGTGATCCAGATCAATCTATGCCCACACAATCTTATTAGCTAGCCAGCATTGCCTCTGTGTACAAAGAGCTCTCCAGTTGTGAAAGAATCAATAAACATGTAATATTGATTTCTCTTATAGTATCCAGCTTGTGAGTAGTGTAGCTAGGAATATGAAAGAAACCGAAGCATGCTTCATCTAAAAGCAGTTTAAAATGAATCAGTCTGAGGGACAAGATCATGAAATTGCCACTCCAATGGAAGCTTCGTATGATTCAAAATAGGGATTATGAATGATCCCAAATTGTGGTATAAAAACTACAATGGTATACGGGTTTTATGCATGTGTCATGTATAAAGAAGGGCTACATTCACCAGACAGCAATGCATGGAGGATTGTATTAGGAGAGAAGGTGTCTAGGACAGGCGTTTCAGGCAGAAGAAAGCTGCAAAGGTGGGATGAATAGGGTGATCGATGTCTCAGGATGTGCTGACTGCCTTTAACAGTGTTAGGGTGGGGGCGAGCTGAGTCCCGGGTGGGAGAGAACTAAAGATGGAAAACACTAAAAGGGGCACATTCTCTGGCTGTTGGAACTGGATGGGATTCATGTTTTATGAGTTCCATCTTTCTATCCTTTGTGCATTTATTTTTAATTCAGCTATATTCATGTTTCTGATATGTCGCTTGCTGTGACAGATTCTGTATAAATAGAACATGGTTCCTGAACTCTGGTTTAGTACTGTTAGTTAAGATGATTTTAAAAACATTTATCTCCTCTTCCTAACCATATGACATAAGTTTTACAATAACAAGGATCATGAATTTTTGTGCTCATTATTTAAAAAATGGTTGGATAGAGAGCTGCTATTGACATTAAAATAAAAGCGATTTTTTTTTGTTCAAAGGGATTCAAACAGTTATAGTAAAATATGGTAATTTTTACCACCAAGTTGCATTGAGATTAATTAAGAAAAGTTTCTGTTGTACTGAACACTTCAAAAGAGAATTGTGTTTAGAGCTGAGGCTTACAGGATAGAAGTGTTCTTGAGCACTGAGTGAAGCATGTGAGGTTCAGGGTGCCTGAATAACAGCAGAAGACAGAGGGGCCAAGGGATATGGGACAGGAGGGTCTTGTAACCACACATGACAGATAGGCCAGGAGCAATGAAGATGTGAAGGAGCCAAAGGCACTGGGGATAAAATGGACAGGTCTTAGTGTCTGAAAGAACAAGGAAGGGGGTGTGGAGGTGGAGAGAGGACAGTGGCCTCTGGTGTCTTGTTCACAATTCTGCTGAACTGGGAACAACTGGATATTTGTCAGAAACATCAATTGTTGGCCTTTGGGTACCTGGCTGAAGCAAAATGGTGATGCACCAATCAGTCATCAGCAGAAGAGACGCAGGAGTTGGGGAATGGTGAGCTCACCTGTGGAGCACGGCAGAGCACACACAGTAGTTTCTCAAAGAGCCAAATTATTAGGCATAGAACACAAGAGACTAGGGTAGAGGTATAGGGAGACCAAGATAGCACAGGAAAGAAATGCCAAGGATAGAAACACAGGGAGAGTACTGTGTTTAACTAGCTTAACTTAGGAGAGACATTGTCCATTTGCATCTTTGACAGAGTGGAATCAGTTTCCGGAGAACCCCAAAAAGGGTGTCACTGGTGTTGGGGAATAAAGATTGAGTGCTTTTAATTTGAAATCAGAAATCCGCAGCTGTTTACAGTTCAAGTTACGACACGGATTGTGGCCTCGTGCATCTCTGCACATGGAAAAAGTGAATGCAGACTGGAATGGTGATTTCATCAGGAAACGGTACACAGGTGAGTGAACAGAAGTCACCCTGCCCTGCAGCGAGCCCCTTTATGAGGAGATCCACAGCGCTGTAAGACTTAGGTTCGCACGCACCAGCCTCTCTGATTGCACCATGGATGTTAATCTCAGTATACTTTATAGGAATGCGATTTTCTAATTAGTAGCTTTATGGTGCATACGCTGAGGAATCGTTTCTGTATCAGAGACAATGCGCAGAAATTATACCCTTCAGTCGGTGAGCACTAGGGGTCCCTGGAGGTGTTCAAACATTAGCCGCATAAAAAGTACTGGAGGTGCTTACTACGATTAGATTTTTGGTTCAGAAGAGCCTTCTGAATTAGTGTTTTATCAAGTGCTGTCACTTAATTCTGAGGTGGATATGAAGAGGGCAACCTGGAGAAAAGGTTCCTAAGCTTTTCAGTGCAGGTGTCTCTCTTATCTGGTGTTCTTGCGCCCTCAGGTGGCACAGTGAGAAACTGTGTGACTTGGAGTTCTCATTTTCTCTGATTGGAAAGTGGTGTTTGACTGTGTCTGTCTGTGGTGTAGCCTTTATCTAACTACATTGTAAACCTACAAATACGAGTGCAGATCTCGTTTGTTTTGAGGTGCTTAAAGCACTGGACAGTCACTCTGGTGGGAGCCTTTTCATGGCCAAGTAATTATCTTTTCTCAGGGTACTCCTCTACAAATCTTCAAAAACCTATAAGATCTTTTAAAAAACAAAACAGACCCAGAGAACGAAATATTTGAGTGTTTTATTTGCTAGTTCTTTGGGATATTGAGAAGGAGATAGGAGATGAGCATATGAGGAGAGGCGTGTGGAGGAACAGTCAGCGGTGGAGAGTCCCCCTCCTTTCCTTCTCTGCCTCTGGTGCCATCCAGGATCCTAGTGACTGATGGACACAGCATTAGCACTGGAGGCTCCAAGAATGGCCACATTATGAACCTCTGCGCCCCTGTGCCTCTGACTCGCACACCACACTATTTCTTACTGTGGTTCTTTTACTCAGCCCTCCACTATTCATCATGCTGCAGCCACCGTGATAAGGTGGGACACCGCGTTGAGGGCTCACATTCAAATGGTGAAGACAGATAACAAACAGCAGCATAAAAGTTACCAAAGGAATTACAAATCGAGGTAAGGGCAAGGAAGGAAACAAACAAGAAGCTGCGGTACAGGCTCCATAAAACGTGGTAGCTTGACTCTTCTCTGAGAGAGGGGATGGCTGGGGCCAACCTGCTCCTGCGACCCATTTGGTGGGTTAAGCGAGGCAGAACCATCAAGGCACCTGGCACGGAGTTTCTAGGTGGTGGAGACCGGATTCGATTCTACAGCCCCGACTGCAGCCTTCTTTCTTGAAAATGCTGACAGTCATTTCCAGTCAAGTCAGAGGAAAGAGAAGAGCACACCGGAAGCCCCTGGTGAGAAAAACATTGAATCTAGCATGGAAAAGAGCCGCGTAAAGAAGCTCAGTGACAGAAGGGTCAGCTGCCCACAGTCACAGCTAGAGTCGGTCCCATCCTAACTGCCTTTGGGAATATGGTCAGGAGGCTTGAGTTTCTTTCTAAGAGCGGTGAGACCACAGGTGCATTTCTGACAAGGTCTAGACTTGGTCTCAAACTTTTAAAAGAAGGTACCTCTGATTGCAGTGTGGAGAATGCACCACAAGCAGGAAAATCAGTAAGGAGACCAGCAGGGGAGGGGATACAGTTTTTGATGATGAGATGGAGGAGAGATTTGAACACATTTTGGAGGCAGAATGAATAGCACTGTATAGGACAATGTGTTTGCCAACCTCAAGGAGGTGATAGGAGGCCGGCACACCACATGACACTGGGATGCAGGCTTTTCTTAGAAGTGTGTTAACTCCAAAAGAGTAGTTCTTCTTAGGAGGCAGTTGCTGAGTGAATTAGAAACAAAAGGGAAGAAAGGAAAACCTCGGTGTGTCTTATTTCTTCAGCACAACAAAGCGGCTGGTGGGTGGTTGAAAATTCTTTCTGGGGTAATATCTATCACCTCAGATGAGAGCACAGAGTTCAGGGAAGGTGAGTGACTAGCCACAATGCAAACATAAATGCACTTTTCCTTTACCTAACACATTGACTTCTACTAAGGAAAGATGAATTTGACAGCTAAGTCAATTTCCCACCAAGCCTGTGACTCCAGAGTCCTTCGTTATAGGCTGAGTATTTTTAAAATTTCTTATTCCTTTAATTAGTGAAAGACCCCTGCCCCTTAGCCCTCTCTTTCTCAAGTTTGCCTCCTCCTTCGGTCGGCGGCTGGTGGGGCGCGGGGAGGCCTCGCCCCCTGCCCCCCCACCTGGCACCGCGCCCCGGGGCTTGGGCCGAGCAAGGAGCCCTCGAGGAGGCCCGAGGGCGAGCACCAGGTGGGCCGGCACGAGGGCGAGCATCAGGTGAGCCGGCCCAGGGCCCCGCCCCCGCGCCCCCGCCCGATGGGGAACACTCCGTCCCAAGGTCTCCGCCCCCAAGGTAAGCCATCTGGATGCAGAGGGGGGAATTGAGTCTGTTGTACCAGACACCAG